TTTGTTTTTTTTTTTTAAATAATACGTGAGAACTCCTCCCCGGACACATTTGTAAAGCTGTTAATATGTGAGATACTGTAAATAGCCCATATTCTATATCGGCCTCCGAGCACCACTGCGGTTGCTGCTGCCGTTACCGTGAGGCGAGGGGGCCGGGGTGTCCATACTGTACATACCTCTGTTCGCGTGTCGCTCCGTCTCCTGGGCGCTCCTGCCCTCCCCGCTGTAGATACTCCCGGCCTCGCAGCGCTCTGGCTTGTCTGTCTCCTTGTAAGTTATGAAACTGGTGGGACTGCATGGGAATTATTTTTTGGATCAATGTCATAGCCCATCCCCACACCAGAGTTTTATAAGAATTTTGTACAGTCTTTGTGGAAAAATAAATATGAAGTGAAAAAACCTCCCAGGCTGAGTTTGGATCAGCGGCAGCCCCTCTCGGGGCCGTTCCTGCTTGTGTTTCCCACGTGCAGCGGCTGCGTGCTGCGAAGGGAAGAAAGCTGCGTGGTGGGACTGAAGGGAACGCCGGTTCATGAAGCCGGTTCTGCACCCCTCTTTGTCAGCTGGGGTACGAGCTGCTGGTGGGCTGCTTCTGCTGGTGGGCTGCTTCTGCTGGTGGGCGTCCTTTGCTCGTGGGCTTCCTTTGCTCATGGGCTTCCTTTGCTCTTGCTCCTCTGAGGGCTGGACCTGAGCAGATTCGGGGTAGGGGGGAGCAGCAGGGTGCAGGCTGGCCCGTCGCCCTGCCCTGCCATCAGCACTGAGGTGGGACATGCGAAAGGAGGACGGTGACACGCGTTCTCTTCGCCAGAGAAGCCTCTTGCTCGCTGCCTGGGGGCCAGGTGCCCACGCTCGGCTGTCCAACGTGTCCCCGTGTCCGTCCCTGCCGCTTTGGCTCTTGCCGGCTCTGCGAGGCTGGGGCTTTCCCGTGGGAATGGCTGGGGAAGTGGCAGACTGACGGCAGCTCTGCATCGCCGCTTCGCCAGCGTGGCTGCGAGAGTCTCGCTG